CCGCCAACCATATACATACTAATAAAAAAGAGGAAGAGCATCAAGCGAAAATGACGTTTCACCGCATGAGATGTGTATTATTCGTGGAAAGCAGCAACCGTTTAGAAATTGTGGTTCGTAGTAAGTACAGACGACGGAGGCTAGTACAACCGCGACGCGTAGACTCATGCAATTGACAAGTCACATGCGCGTTTCCACTAGTCTCAGTATCTGAAGCCAGGAGGGTTAATCAATCAAGTGACCTAAGCGAATGGAATCATAGACTGTTTCCGTTTGGTTGATGTTGCAAGTTTACCGTTTCGCCGGTCAAAGTGGCTCTGTAAGTGCACCATAGAGGTATAGAACGGAAACCAGTAGATGCTCACAACTTCGGATCATCTCCATGGATGGTTGGAATAAGACTCAAGGTTGCGCAGACCAAAGTACAGACATTTGAAATATTATCAATCAGGCCAAAATATAGAAAACAAACCGGCATGAATAACATGAAAACAGAAGCGCCCTCAGTCGAAGGACAATAGATGACGGGAGGCCCACAACACTTGGATTCAAGTTGTAGTAGAACAACGCCGTGGAATTGTGTATCACTAGGCAGATGGTGGACGAAAAAATCCCAGAAAGTAAATCATCAAAGAGAAGCCACCAGGTTTGCAATCAATGCACGTTTGGAATGGCCCTCTCAGCCACCACACTGTAGTTGACTGAAATGCACCATCCGTATGCCCCATAGAACAAGACTTCAGTCGAAGACGATGTTTGGGACTGGACGCAACAATGGCAGAGTACTTTAGAGTCAAGCAACTGTCGGTATCGCAATTTATTGTCGACATGCTTCGAGAAATTGATTTTGCAACTGACGAAGTGTGCAATGTAAGGTATGCAGATATTTGTACTCTGAGAGATCGTACAAACCAAGATCCATGTCGCCGGGACGTCAATGAAGGCTGAAAAAACGTAGGTAAATAGTAAAGGGATTAAAAGCAGTTGCCTTTGGCCTCAAGAGAATTGTACCTACTCGTAAACCCAAACGAATGTATAGCTGAATGTTCACTCTATAGCGATACTTCAAGAAACGCGACACATCGACGGTATTCGTCGGACGAGCAGATGTGATATAAAGTACCATCAGCTTATGGCAGTGGTATCAAGAAGATATCAGCATGACTTCGATTGATCCTGGTGTCAAGTTCCACAAAAATACTGTCAATATACAGCATCGAGATTCATGCGTGCTGGTCGCACATTCGTGCACTAGTGATTTTCTCGCAGTTACTACATCATATGTTATCTCGCGCCACTGGATCTATACCTTTTCGTCTCCAATTGAGAAGCACTATTTCGTGATACCAGTTCACCGTTCTTTTACTCAGAAATGCTAATTCCCGGCAGTGTTTCAACCATACGCGCAAAAAGTTGCGTAATTCCAAACGCCGGAGGTTTTGGTCCCACTCTATAGAGCACTCTAGCGACGTTTGAACAAGCTCTCACGAATTCCACTTCACAACTGTGTGGAGCATCTACAGAGTAGTCCACGTTTTTCATGAATCGAACTCCTCTTAGTCCTTCGGCAAGTCTGCCTTGCCATCTAACATCTTCAACGTGAGCGATCAATAGACCAAGCCAAAGAAACTCCATCTACCATGCCATCGAGTGAAAAAACCACGGATATACAGCCGCACTCTGCCGACAGGCTAGACAAACGCTTCACCGCCACAACAGAGATGGGGACCGTGTGACCGTGCTTCAAGGTGACACCTGATCGTTGACCTGACTCAACGTCTCCGTCCCAGCCTACCGAATTCTGCGTTCACAAACGCGTTTCGCAGTCATTGGATCGATAGACGTTCGTCGCCCAAATCGTTCCTGGAAGGTTAGGGAACAAATCTGAACGCGCAATCAGCATGCAGACCTAGAACGGTTGATCCCTATAGCATTTCAACTAAACTGCTTAACGTATGCTAGTTTATGAGTGTTCAATGCTACACTGTGCACAATTTTTGATACTATAACTCGATTTGAAATCAGCCTTAACTGCTAGGCGTACGCGCTAAAATGCCTCCTAGCTCAATTAAGGTGTGAGATGCCATAGCTAGGACGAAGGAAAAACAGGAACCGGTAGCAGTCTGCAGCGATAGCACCATTAAAACGAGAAGTGTCTCAGCTAAGGCGACGAAAAAACAAGAAGCAGTAGCTATCCGCTCTGACGATAGAAGTGATTAATTACCTTAAATGCAAAGCCGCATCACTGAAAAGTGAACTGGTGCGCTTTGGCGCAAAATACGATCAAGTCTTGCCGTTTGTGAATTACTCAAAGGACGTGGAATTAGACGCACCACACACGACTGCTTTTCCCGTATCCTTAAATTCATCTGAGACTCAAGACTTACTTACTTTACTTTACTGCCGCTAGCTCCTGCGACAGGATGAGTCGGATTCATAAATGTCGCGGATTGCAGCTGCCCAAGCGCGACGGTCAGCGGCAACTTTCACGCAAATACTTATCTAATGATTTCTCCAGTGACGAGCACTATGCACAACCTGGAGTCCCAGAAGATCGACATCTAATTTAATTGCAGCCAGCCACGGTTTCAATTGTGCACCACAGCGAGGACACTAACCCTGGCAAGGCGAGGGCGTAACTACGGCCTTAGTGAAGTCAGTGTCTAGTCTGCGGACGATGAGATGGAGCCATAGAAATCTGCGGCGTTGGATGTGCGTTGAGAACTTCGGAAGACCTTAACAGCGCTTACGAACTTCGTCATTGGCGATACGCTCATGTCACTGAGTTTTCAAGATAAGCCTTAGACACTTCGGACACTTCCGGCTTACGGGTGTCTATGCATCGCAGCGGCCATGTTTCTCAACCATAGAGTAAAATGCTCGAATGGTTGCTGAGAATACTAGGATTTTGGTTCTCAGACTAATTTCCGTTCGTCGCCATAGTGCGCTTCTCAATTGTAAGAAGGTTCTTCTGGCGCTGTCAATACGAGTTCGGATTTCGGACGCAGCCTGACCATTGGGGAGAATAGTGGATCCAAAGAACAGATTCGATATGTTGACCATGGAAGGAGAGCGATGAGGCGGACTGGGTGGTTGACGATGAGAAGCACTTCGTTTTGATGATGTTACTTTCGAGGCCGATTGATCTACCCGATTTATCAGTGACCGTAGTGACACAGGATCTTACGCAAGGATAGCGATATCGTCAGCAAATTCCAGGTCTGACAGTCAGAAGTCAGGGCTAACTTGAACACCATGATGGCCATCAAGGGTCGCAAAGTTGAATGGCACTGGAGAAAGTGGGCAATCCTGCCGGACTCCAGTATTAATGTCGAATTCCCTCGTTTCTTCGCTACAGACCCGAATTCGGGCTTTCGTGAAACGGTAGTATGATCTTATCAAGTTGACTAATTTAACGGGTACGCCGTCGGCAAGTAGCATTATCCAGAGTGCTTCACGGTCAACTGAGTCAAAGGCGGCTCGAAAATCAAAGAAGTAAACAAACGTGGGCTGCTGGAACTGGTAGCGGTGTTCGAGTACCCGACGTACAGTGAAGATTTGGTCACTACAGTCACTGTCTGGACGAAAGCCACCTTAATCGTAGCGAGTTCGCAGGTTCTCCCATTGGCAAAGCAAGATTCGTGTGAAGGTCTTAGAAGCTATATCGATCAGGCTAATCCTGCGATAATTACTGCACACAGTTAGGTCACTTTCATGGGAAATGGCAGTAATACTGAGGTACTCCACGAGGAAGGGTAGGCATTGGTCTCCCACATCGAGAAGAAAAGCTCATGCAAATGGCCAAGGAGGGTTGGTAGACAAGACTTTCGGCTAGAATTCCGTTTGCTCCAGGAGATTTCTTCGGCTTCAGGCGACAAACGATATCTTCAACTTCTGTAGGGGATGGCGGTGAGCAATCCGCGTCATATCCTGACTGGGCTAATGCTGAAATGAGTGCGGTTGTGTGTAGTGAGCGGTTTAGGAGGTTATTAAAACACTCCACCCATCTGAAAAGATTCCTTTTCGTATCAGGGATGATTTGGTCATCCGAACTGCGCAATAGCGGCTATGGTGAATTGCGTTTGGTGGAAGCTAAACGAATGAGACGAAAAGATGACCCAGATCGCCAGAATTTAATGCAGCTTCCATGTGTCCTGCGATAACAGACCAATAGCCGTTGCGATCATTCCGTGCCTCAAGTCTCAAGCGACGGTAGTTTGACGAATTCATGTGACGTGCTCCTTTCGCTTTAGCAGACAAGCGGGCAGTATCTCCAGTGACCCAATGCTTCACAGGTTTAGAGATAGAGCCAAGGAACTTTACGCAGATCAAAGAACGGGTTTATGCTTAACATACCTGACAGATTGACTGTAGATAAAGTCAAAAATATTTCGCTCGCGGCATGCAATATGATTGCTAGTAGTTTCTGTGTATAAGGCTGCAGAACAAGACGGATGCAACGGATGATGCAACGGCTGAACATGTTGTAGATAACAAACAGCTCATTGCAGCACGAACTAACATTAAGAAGATTTTGACCAGAAGCGAACAAACGCCACTACAAAGACGAATTATTCAGACGCTCATATTTCCCCCACTTACACCAATCGTATTGACAATGATGTGGTCCTTGATAGAGCACAAAAAAGCCCCGATCTAAAGTTACTCATTAGCACCGGGTCCACCAAACCGCCCACGAGATATCATGCCCGATGATGCTGACCGGGCCAGAGGATACTATTATAAACCCCACAGAAGTTAGCGCTATACCATGTGCCCCTTCCACAAGCAACGATCCCGTAAATTATGTGGTATCAAATAAGAATTAAAATGCAAAGTGTGGAACTAAGAATACTTGAAACTCGGATGGATTGAGTTGTAATGTAATAGTAATCATGTCTAACGCAAGTGAACACCTGTGGTACGAACAATAGCCTACGATTACATATGGGTAAATGGGATAAAAATTAACAAGAGCTAGAGGTTAAATTAAGAATCACCTTGAAAACTTCCACCTCGGATTGAGATCCATGGTAGTTCATGAAGTACATCGGTATCAAGTCGCTGAACATGGATGCCCATTGAACTATCCGGGATGGATTGGAGGAATGAAGAGTCTCCCTAAAAAGACGACAATCCGGATATGAACGTGGAAAAGTCAGAAGAGTGCAAGCACGACGGTCAGAAAATCGTTCGAAATCCTGTAACAATTCAGGCACTCTATACGAACACACCCTGACACTAAGTGGGTCCACCGAGTTGAAATTCGTCGGAGTCATGCATTTGTAGACATAAACGAATGAAATGCCATGATAGGCAGCGACAGAAACCTTGTCTCCAGAAGTCATAGTGATGATTCTGAACGTTAACTCAATGCTAAGGCTTGGGTGTCTCTGTGATTCATCGAATTATTCTAAATGGCACTTAGCGGTATTAGACTCAATCATACCACACCAAAGACATTAGAAATCAGTCAAATTCAAGCGCAGCGCTTTCCTCCCAAGTGATTGAACAGAAGCAGACAGGCCTTGGCCACTACCAAAATTATTTAATGAAGCTGAAGTGCATAGTTCATATGATCAGCTCATTTGATGCAAGGTACGAGCGCCACAGGTTGTCTACATGTGGCAGAACATGAGTGTTGCTCAGTGGTAGACTTTTCCAATTTTTACTGGGATTAAAGTTCGAAGATGGCATGATGTTTGGGTCAGGCAGTAAAGGCACATGCGGTACTTCGTTCTTACCAGAAAAGTACAATGTTAAGAGACCACTCGGTCCAATGTGCAAAGCGGAAAAGATGACAACATTAATGGACACATACCGAAAGTTGCTACAGTCTAGGAGCTGTTCACTGTTCAAGAATTTTGCAACCAGGAAAGTCGGTGCACTCAGTTCCTAAGACAACCACTATGAGAAACAAACGGCCAAAGATAAGCCTAGGATAAACATCATTTGGAACAGTTAGCGCAAAAGAAAGTCTGGAGCACAGTGCTGTCTCCCTTTCCCGGTAGAAATGCGTACACCCATCGAACAGCTTATCTAGATACACCATAAGAATGCAGCTGAAACGAATGGGAAGATTGCGGAACGATGAGGAACATTTAGGAAAAGCAAATGAATACAGCTTCCACCGCCTGGTTCTGACCTATGGCATCATGCCATGTAGACACACATGCAGGAAAAAGATTGCTTAAGTTGTAGTGAAGCGAATCGAGCAACCTGAATTGATTCAGTTTATTCATTGTGCGCAGCACCTCATACCAGCCTTCGAATAACGCTTATAGGACGGTTGTTAAACTAATTGTTAGATCCGCTAATTCACAAGGAGATGCATGTTGCCAAGTTTAAAGATGCGACGGGGGTAAAACCTCCATCCAATCAGGTAGTAGAGGGCAGCTGTGAAAAAACGCGCGATCGGATCACAGAGGTCATTTGCTAGCTTGTACAGTTTGATGAATAGGGTCCGTGCCTGACGCTCTGGTAGGACTCGGAACTCTCAAAAGGACGGGAATCCCAAACAGAAATATCAATCAGAAAAATCTGCCGGAATCTTTACTGCTGAATCAAAAAGTGATAACTGAGATTTCCGAAAAAACCCTTCAGCATAGAGTGCTCCGAACTGTGGTGAGTATTGCGGGCAACAGTCCCTACACGTTCAAAGGACATTAGGATAAACGTGTTAAAATTGCTCCGGTTAATAACGAAGTCAAGTAACTCGTCGAGGTGGTTAGCAAAGATTCCGAAGCCTACAACAGCAGAGAAATGCGTGGTCCAATGCAGTTTTGTAGTTGAACCGAGATGTGATGGTTCTGCGGGTGCCCTCTTTCGCGCTGGAGATGGGATTGGAGAGGGGCGCGCGACAGAGGAAGGCGTTGTACCTAGCACACGCAGTCTGGGCATTATTGGTTGTTGGGGTGCTGCGAAACAAAGTGGTAGCCTTGGCTCTGATTTTGTGTTCATACCTTGGACAATGCATTGACCACGGTTTCCGTTAAGAAAAGACTTAAATGACAGGTGTACAGTCAAATCAGTTCAAACAAAAAAACTATGGTCTATGCGATGAAGTACAGTGGACACAGTTGTCATGGCTCACGTTGCTAGGAGAACGGTAAAAAAAGAGATTGATTACAAAAAGAATACAAATAAAAAAGAATCAAGATAGTATTGTATTAAGCTAATCGGGATGGAATGAAAGTTAACAGCGACAAGCAAGAAATCGAATGTAGGAATGGCACTGACTGTGCCAATGCGCCAGTGGCATATTATCAGCATCCGCCGATGTTCTAGGGCACTTTCCTGATAGTGATCACAGAATTGCATCATTTCCATTCAGTAATCCTACACGATGGCAAACATCGGCTGTGCCCAAATTACTAATGCATACAAAGAAATATAAAACCGTCGAGTGAGATGTTTGCCAAGTCAATGAGATCTGCTCAATGGAACAACTTTTTCTTACTGGAGACTCACAAGCTGCAGCAGATGCTCTTTACAGTAAGTGTTATACATGTGTTGATATACTCGCTCCCACTAAGCATCGACATTTTCCTCTTGGGAACAAAACGACTACGTTACACCATACAGTTCAAAAAGCTGCTGACAGTATATCGCAAAACAAATGACCCCTCTTTTTTGTTATAACACCAAAATTCCACTACATCATTACAGCTGGCATGTCACACCAAAGAGATCGCCGATGAAAAACGAGGCCTTTGTAGCCAGTAAGAAAATAATGAACCAAGCGATCTTTGAAAGTGAAGGAATACCAAATGGAATCAAGGTACAATCTCATTGGTTGCAGCAGATAACCACATAATAACCGACTCTGTCCACTTCAGTGAAATACTTAGTTCTGCGCCATCTTCAACGTGGATAATAACTCTCCAAGAATGAAAACACAACCATCCACAGTTGGTCAACTCACCCATGACACATTTGAGCTCCGTGACATACACGAGCTTATCAAATGCACAAAACTATTCTATTTCGATGGACCAGATAATGTACCTCCTGCAATTATCAAACTCCGGGGTGGCAATATACGCTTGCTGCTAATGAATATGTTCACCATATCCATGAATGCTGGCAGCGTATAAAAACAGTGGAAGGAAACCATTGTCACAACGCGATATAAATCAGCCTGGCTGTTCGAAACAAAGAATTATCGCCCAAGAAATCATACATCTATCCTATCAATAATGATGGAGCAACATATAAAAACTGCAACGGTCGACTTCCTACTGACTTGAAAGTTAATCAACGACTCAGCACGGTTTTCTGAATGCTCGTTCATGTATAACGTGCCAACCTGAATTTCTACATCATATAACTACCTCACAAGATAACGGCAAGTCTGCAACCGTCATTGACCTCGACATCCACAAAGCTTTTGATCGAGTAACCCACGGAAAACTAATATCCAAAAATCATGTATGCAATCGGAGAATTCCTGGTTTCGTTGTTCTGATCGTATCGTACAAATTGAACACAGGCGGTGCACATTCCGGGACGCAAATCTGAACCAACAGCAGTTACAAGTGGTGTAGCAAAGAGCAGTGTCCTTGGTCCTCTGCGATTCTTGATGTACGTAAACGAGATCTTTGACGCAGTAAAGTTCTGAACACCACACATTTTTAACGATGATATTGCGATGATTGTCTTCACTGTTCACTCTGCGACCATAGACAAAGCTACCAACATGATCTAGCTCGATCTCCACGCGCTCAGAACCTAGTGCTCAAAACGCAGGGTGTGCGGGATGAGTGCCTTACAAATGCGACATAACATCTAGTGGTCTGAACAATGGTGACAAGCCAATTAATATATATCACGCCATTCCGGATCTGGGACTGAGATACTCATGCTCACTCAACTTCTAGCCCAAATCGTTTGCGTCACTGCAAAAGCCAGACAGAGCATTGGAATGCTATTTGGAACATCTGCGCCACAGTCGGATCAATCCTAATGCTAAAACGCTTAGACAGCATGCTTTGAACCATCGTGACACGGTGCAACCAAAAATTGCCGAATTTGAGCGAAATATGGCACAGCGCCATCATGCCGTTGACGAGTTAGCTTTGGAATTGAAACAGATGTTTATAGATTACGTTCAGTCCATTATCGAGAACTGTACGGCAAAAACGTTTGGCCCTAGCAAAGACGTTGAACCAGCTTAAGCCTCAATCTACTTCCCAGTAGACCTGAGAGGTACATGCATAACTTTTCAAGCCTGGAATTGAACTCCACTTTAATGGAAGTTCTATCACTTGGTCTAAAAGTGCGCGCTCCCAGACACAGAGACAATCAGATGCACTGTGAGTTACAGTTTGAAAGCCTATTTGTTCAAACAAAAGGGTTAGCAGCAAAGTTTAATGAGGACCTGGAACGCTTCAAATGTTCTCTGGTGAACACTTGCTACCAGTATCGTAAGTGGCATGTCCAAAATCATGGTCCAGTGACACGCAAGCACTTTGACGCACTGAAGGATTTAAAGCGCAATGATAAGATCTTTCTGAGCAAACCGAACAAAAGCACCGGGGTCATTCTATTGGACAAAAATGACTATATAAACAAGCTAGAAAGAATTATGAGTGATGAAGCAAAATTTTCCCGAACAATTTGAGAAAAGGATCAAACGGAGCGAACCGAAAAGCAGATTACCAAAAGCCTGCAAGAGCTTCGGAATAGCGGATACATCTCAAATACTCTTTATGATAGCCTTAAGCCGAGTGGTACGAATGTTCCGAGGCTTTACGGGTTAACTAAAATTCATAAGACTGATGTCCCACTTCGACCAATTTTACCAATGGTTAATTCGCCCTACCATGCTGTTGCCCAATTGCTTGTGGAAATTCTTGAGCCAATAAGACAGCGACTTACACAATACAGCCTTCATGGAAAGCGTCAGGGACCGCAACATCGGTAAGAAAATAATGTTTTTCTTGGATGTTGTATCGCTTCTCACCAACGCCCCACTTCTCGAGACAATTGATTACATTTGCACCTACATCAAAGAAACACAAACAATGACAGGCATACCATTGCGTGATTTGAAAAGCCTCTTTTTGCTTTCACCTGGAACAAAAAGTTCCTATTCAATGGCACCGTCAAAAAATGGTGTAG